GCCCCACGTGGAAGTAAGTCTATCGCCCCCCCCCCCCCCATTTATTACATGCTTTATATTACGTGCACTGAGTTATCGATTATTAGATTTCTAGGCTCGAAATTGAGTAAGTAAGAAGCACAACCGAAGCTATTATGGCTGCTATTATCAACAAATCAGAGAGTCACATGTATCTCCTTACCTAAATCTTTATAAATGCTAATTTTTTAGCAGAGAAAGGTCTTCCCTCTTCTTATCCCCGGAGCTTGAGTAATTCTAATTATATATAAAGACTCAAAATTAAAATAAAAACACCCCACAACTCCTATTATAAATGACCCAGCCGAACAAAATTGTGCCGAAGTCAGTAATCAATTACAAAAGTTGAATTGAATACTATTAATAAGAAGAACGACATTTTGTTGCTCATTTACCCAAAATCGTTGTGGACGTACCTTTGCACTTTTGTAGCCTCCAGACTCAGCACCGAACAGAAACAAGGGTACGACCCAGTGTTCACATGGAATGATATGACCTTGGGACAGCAAATGGGATTTGAGCATCCCAAATCAAGACAATTGGGAAAATGTTTTGGTTAATATAATGTGGCACTGTCAAAATGTGAAGACAAAGTAGTAAATCACATGGACACTCTTTAGCAAAACACTGCAATTCGAAGAAGAATATAATCACAAGTTGAGGATTTACAAATTCTAGTTTTTTTATTCAGGATGACATAAAAGGAGAAAAGTGAGTGCAGAGAGGAGTTCAGATCTCGAGATAACGAAGGGTCGAATTTCACAAAGATTGAAGCACTTGGCCAGCTTGCATCTTTGTAATAACTCATAAATCCAATTCAAGATGGATTTCAAGAATGAAACCACCCTGATCGTGTGTGGCATCACCAATTATTCATTTCAACCGACTAACCAACAGATATCGAATATTATGAAAATGAACACATCCAGAAAACTTGGGAGCAAATCATGAAGATTCAGCTTTTGAGCATTTAGATAACAGATGGTGATTAATACCCCCATGGGAAGTTGGACAACCCACTGTCACCAGAAATTTCGTAAGGTACAACTCGTGGCATTCTGGTTTTAGATACGCTATTTCATCACTTACTGAACTATTATGCATTCACGCTTGATTAAAAGTGGACAATTTCTGCATCCCCTGCGTCATAGTAACATAAGTGGACTTGCTTTCTAAATACCATGATACAAGATTATTTGATAGTTAAAGTAGTGTACCATAGATCAAAAAAGAAAAAGAATTTGACTGGTTTGAAATTAGGGGGGGGAATTTCGCCTACTTCCGTCCCAATAACAGCCCAAATTTAAGGCACATGTCTACTCTATCATCACGAAACTGAAACAGCCACTTGCCTCCTCATTGCATTGCATTTCGGGGATTAAAATTATGGGAAAATAAGATTTACTTTGTCCGATATTTGGGGCAGGGCGATGCTGATTATATTCATACTTTGCCACTGAAGGGAAATTTTGAGCTTCCTTTTTTCATATATGCTAACTAGTTAGTGGGAAGAATAGTTGCATTCCGGAAAGTCTTCGCTTTAGGGAAATTAGGGAAAGAAGTGAATTCATCGAACTACGGCATTCTTTTGGGTTGTGGGATACGTCAACAGGAGGAATGTATAGAAGGTAAGAAGGGGAATAAAAAATAATTTTCAGACAGAATTAAGCAGAAACTCAAATATGTACAAGAATAATCTAGGGCGGTAATTTTAGGAATCAGTTCCTTAGAAATAAATATGCAGCTTATGTGTGTGCTCTAATTAAACCCGTGTTCAAACTATTCAACTGCAACAATATTTAGTTCATGAGCATAGGATTTTTAATGAGCGTAATTCAAATATACAAATCACATAAATTTCCAATCGACGGTTAGCCACAGTAAGTTTATAAATTAATAATGAATGAGCAGTTAAAAAAACTTAGTTAAGTTTTTTAACCATGCAAAATCAATAGAGTAAATTGAATTAAATAGGAGTAAAACAAATAATGATTTTGAGAATATTTGATAGAAGCGACAGAATGTTTGAAGAAATTAAAACCTGGAGTCTGACGAAAAGATGTCTAAATAAAGGTCACAATTTTACGTGGAAGGGAGAAATAGAACGAAAAGTAGCATTTTGGGGGTTTCAGGAATGGAAGAGACGACCAAGCTTCTCTAAGGGAGACCCAAAGCCAATATTCACTTTGTAGCCAATAAAGGCTGACAAAGCGCTGGGTTCATCTACAAGAATACGAGCTCGCTTGTTAAAAAGACCCCAACCCCCCCCCCCTTCCCCCAAATAACCAACAACCTCTTTCCAAGCCATTATCATATGCCCTAATTCAAGATTTTTTTCTGAATTATTACAATTAATGACTTGAAACCAACCTTTCGAATGGGTAGGGAAGATATAAATGCCTCAATAGCTTCAAGAGTAGGTTCAATCGAGTACTGTCCGTTGGGTTTATTCAAATCCGATGCAATTTTTGCAATCAGGGAGTTCGGAGCGATTCCTAGGGACAAAAAAACCAACAAAACGGTTAATAAAGGTTATGGAAGATTATCTGAAAATGCAAAATAGATGGAAATCAATTATGTAGGCGCATAAAATTACGCTAATGAAACCTTTTTTCCCAATTTAGAAAAAAAGTTGCATTGGTTGTGAAACAGATAATGAACCATAGCGTACCCTAGAGGAAGAAAAAAACGATTCATTTAAACGCACTGGTTTAAGCACATTATGCATCCACCTTGTGTTTCTGTCAAAATGATATTTCTAGTTAAAGTAGTAAACAACTAACCCATGGCGCGCCCACAACGAATCCAAGATGCACATTAATTGCGACGTTTGATGAGCAAAAGTAGAATGGTCTTTGAATACGAATAGAGTATTATTTTATGCACACTATGGAAATACAACGACCGTGCTGAAATTTGATGAAACCCAAATTATGGCGTGCTTGTGGTGTAGCAAAGTGAAACACATAGGTCCAATACATTAAGCAGTTATCTACCTGGTAGAGGGTTTCCACGTCACGCTTGGACATGAAAGACCACCATCGAGGCAGCTATCATCAGATAGCACCACATTATTTATAATTAAATTAATCCTCTTAATAAAAGGCCCATTGGTTGAGCTCCTTTCTTGCCCTAAAGGTCAAAATACTTGTAGCCTTAATAAAATAAGTACTTGCAAGGTCATTTATTTAAACTGAAGCAATTTAAGCCAATGTAGCACACACCCGATTATCCTAATACGACACAAGAGAAAGGAAAATTCGTATAAGTCCCCCAAAATTGGAGGTTTATTGGTGGCTTTCAAGTGCATTTTCTCACAAAAAGAGTAGAATCACCATAAGATATATGGATTTCGGTACGTATCCTCCAAGTAGTAAGCACAGAAACCTCAAAAGCCTTACCAGCACTACACGTAAGCTTCGTGGCACAGAAAACACGAAAACGCATTTCTCTAACAGCCTCCTCGGCACTTGTTCCAAAAACACGGGGACCTGTCTTGATGAGCATTCCACAAAGCAGACAAGTGGCCAAGGCTTCATCTTTACCCACTACTAACGAAATAGTGCTCGGAGGAGTGTTTGAGCAGGCAGTAGTAGAAGAAGTAGTACTGCTCCTACTATTACCTTGATTTGATGAAGTGGAGGCGAATTTAGAGGGGGAATTTGAGGCTGATGATGTTACCAACAAGTCAGCCACAGTGGAGTCAGCATTGTTCTTGGCGCATCTAAGAGATTAATCACAGTTAGTATTCAATATTCTGCCATCAAACTTTTAAAACAAAATCAACTTGCGATTTTTATTAATCAGACAGTTTTAAAATTTCTTTAATTATTAAATTTAAAAAGGAAAACCTTTCAAGTTTGCGTGAACACTTAGAATCGCTCATTTAACTATACCGTCAACGTAACGACGCTATGACAACGATTTGGCAGTTTTTGAAACAACATGTTTCCGACTGCTTGAAAACAGTCATCGTCAATGTGGTGGCAGAGACTAATAGTTACCTTCCTGAGCCTCGTGTGAAGTGGGCACAACAATTGACTTGTGTGGAGGGGGAGGGGGAGGGGGGGGGGTGGACGAGTGGTATGCTGAAATTGTTTGCAGGAGAAAGTCTCATTATTGCATCCAACACCCTTTCTCCAACCGTAACTAGGCCATGTCAGTGGATGCACACCAATGCACCTCGATCTCTTTACCTCCAATTTTTCTGACGTACGCGTCAACCGCTGCTCCATTGGAACAAAATATAACTAGCAATGTATTCTACTCGAAAGAGTTGTCGATTCTGATTCTCATGGACAATTTAAAGCACTTGAACATACTAATTCCAATACACGAAGCACTTAATGTAGTAAGTGCGGGAAAGCAATAACGAATAGAAAAGAAGGCTAAAAAGCCTTATTTGATTAATAATGTGTCAGTGATATGGTAATTAGCGTGGTGAGCAGAATGGTCAAAACCTGCATACCAAACCTAGTTAATAATTGATTCGAGCTTCTCACTAGAGAGAATCCATTTTACTACCTCTCTTTACCAAAGATAAGCGTTGAAAATGGGCTAAGTGAGAGATTTATTTAATTCTAGGCTCAAAACTATACAATCTGTGAACTACAGCTCGAAGTACTTACTAAGACACCCAAAAGAGTGACAAAATTCAGAATTGCAGCCAGGTGAAATGAAGAGCAAAATACTCTACTGATGCGGGTGCGCGATAGACTTACCTCCACTTGGTACATCCCAGGCAACGTATTCTCATACAGCAAACAAGTCTATTAACCGGTAGTTGACTTCTGACTTCAAATTATCATTACCCCACCGTATGTCTTATTCGATCACTTCCACCATACTTATCCTACCTTTTCTCTGTTTTTGTGTCTGTCTCTTTTACATCTTTGAATCACTATTCTATCCCCCCTCCCCACTTTTTCTCGCTTCGATGTTCCTTCTTTCCTCTGTGAAGCCCGAAGTCAACTAAAGGGCAAATGATAAGTATCATAAAGCCCGCTATTTGAAGTAACTAAACTCTACTGATGCGGTCTTTAACTGCGAGGCAAAGTGATCTGCGTTAAGAAAAATAGATTCCCTCTACAGACGAACGAATAGACAGCAAGTAAAGAGGTAAGCAGGGAAGCAATAATGCATGATGAGGTAAATGTCATTTGACGAAAATGGGCCAATACCTAAAAATATTGATGAGTTGATCGGTTTTATAATATGCTGACGCACTCGCAATAATTGAATTACGTCTGACTGTACAGTATGACTATGCACATTAAGGTAAACAGAATTATCGCACAAAATTCCAATAGGAATCTACAAGCAACCTATTCAAGTGGAAAATATAGGCCGGTAGTTTGCAATCAAAACTTAAAACAGATTAAAAAGTAAAATGCAAAATTCGAAATAATTCAGTACACCGAAAGAGGAAAGCAGTAATGAGCAATAAAGACAATGCAATTGTGCTCAGAAGTGGTGAGCTTGTCAATCTATTCAGTTGCAATTAGCACAGTACAGAACTATGTAAACTAGTGCTCTCTCTCTCTTCCCTCCCTTTCCCTGAGGTCTTTTAGAATTCGTGAGTCCCAATACGCCACAATAACCTATTCCCACTATCTCCAGTCCCGCCTTGGGCCTACCTCCATGTCCAAGCCTAGAGAAAAACAAGATTAATTAATTAATATCAAATGGCAGGCTTTATGATAGTTATCATTAGCCCTTGGGTTGACTTCGAGCCTCACAGAGGGGAGGAGGAACATCAATGGCACAAGAAGACGAGAGGGTTGGGGGGGGGGGGGAACAGAAGATTGATTCACAGATGTAAGAGACAGACACAAGGATATAGAAAAAGGTAAGTCAAGATGAGTACTATGAAAGTGGTGGAATATGACATACATTCGAGTCACGGTAGTTTGAAGTGAGAAATCAACTGCGGGTTCCTAAACTTGTTTGCCGTATGAGAATACTTGCCAAGGTTGCACCACGTGGAGGTAAGTCTATCGCACACCCCCGAGAAAAACTAGTTTACTACAGCCTAACAAGGACCTTCCGCCATTTTTACTAAAATGTAGCCATTTATTTAGCTGGCTGCCATGCTCATCAGCGGAGTGACATTTTCACGTGGAATGAATTTCATGAATGGAGTTTTGAGGATTAGACTTATGGTGTCAAAAGCATTGAACTTTTTTACTTAACACAAAGTTGTGCACGAATAAATATATTCATAAATGGGAAGTAACCATCGTCAATTAAAAATTTCGCTGCCTTCCCATTGGGATAATGCTGTGGTAACAGAGAAACACAAACGGAACTAACAAACACCACTGGTGATGTATGGAAGCGATAAACCAAATTCTGAACTCAATTATCTCAAACACATACCCTTTCCTCCTAACAAACATTCTGTTTCTGTGAGTCAACGCATTTACCCATGATGAAATATTCACACGGATTTTTTCACATACAGAAATATTTCCTTCACAAAGCAAACATTATAGACAACTAATTGGGAAAAAGTGTTTCAACTGGACAAATTTGCTGTATCGAAGAGCTATTCACTAACGACCTACTTGCAAACGAGCAAAGGCGTTTTGGGCGCCACCCTTGGCCAATAAGTGCGTCGATCTGGTGGCCAATCAGCACGTTGCTTGAGATGTTGAGTGATGTTGAGGTAGACTTCGTCTAAGCTCATGACCACCAGACCCGAGGCACCTCCATCGCAATACTCCCCGAGGACACTGCGCACCGTTCGACTAACTTCTGTGTATTTTACAAAATCTGGTGGGACGATGGTGAGTTGGGGGCAGAGTTTCTTGCCAAGAAAACCTGGCATCGCTGCCCGAACGCCGTACCGGCGAGCCAAGTAATTGCTGGTCGACTAAAACAGGGAGAAATATTGTTGGCGCGCAACTTGAGCAGCAATTAAAGAAAACAGGCTAATGATGAAGTCAGCCGATGCTATTATGACTGATCCAAATAAGTTCAAGCTCACTTAAAAATAGCTTTCTCATTTAAAGAAAAATTTCGAAAATTCTTTTTTTTCACTTGTATGGTGCTATACAATCAGACGCGAAACAGGTTGGTGGGGGAGGGGGGAGGGGGGGGGGAGGCGTAATATAGAAGCATACGGCTAACAGGCTTGTAGAGAGGATGAGGATAACTCGAGTTTAAATGCAGTCTATGGGGATAACAACATCTCTCTGTCTTAACTATCTTCGTTTGTCTACCTCTAAACTAGCGTTACCAATTTAGCAATTGAGTTACCTACATTAATTACAGCAACTAAAGGTGAATGGCATTTCATTTAACGCAAAGTTGTCAAATCAGTGAAGATAATCAAAGTAGGGGGTATTTTTACATACCCGAAAAGTGCAAAGTTGTGATGTTAGAATGTCCACCACAATTTACTCGCCCTTTCGCACTCCAGATGTTAATTTCAAGTACAGGTAAAAACTACATCGACTAAAACGTTTTTAAAATTTAGCGTCCAGGTAAGAGCTTGAAATTTGGCTAAATTTTAATCACAAAGCCTATGGAAATTAACTACTCCATGGTGATTATGATGATGATAATAGTGAGATAGATGGCATCTTTTCAACCACAGCACTTTCAGACAAACGACATCTTCTGTTTCCACATAATCGTAACTCTGTTGAAATGCTACATTTAGGAAGTATGAATCTTCGCAGGTGGAAATCGATAGCCGATAAAACGGTCTTCCATTCAACTCAAGACAAACCTCTCCAAAAACATAAATACATTCAAGGGATTTATAGGACAACAGAAGAATTTACCTTTCAAGACTATATCCTCTTTCCTCTCCTCTCATAAATTGGATTTCGAAAGCTCTTCATCTTCCTGTCCAACTCGCTTTCCGATATTAAAAATTACTTTGTTATTAGAATAGAATGAATGGACTACCACAGAGATTGGCATCATGTTTGAAGTAGTAAAATGTGAAGGTAACGATTTGCTCGTATTCTAGATATTGCATAAATGTTCTATTAACCAGTAACTAATAATAACAGCTTATCGACTTTTTCCCTTTTGACTTTACCTCCTCACTATGAAGCCTGAAGTCAACTAAAGGGCTAATGATACCTATCTGAAGCACGAAGTCAACTAAAGGGCTAATGATACCTATCAAAACGCCTGCCATTTGATATAAATAAATGATACCTATCAAAATGCCGCCATTTGATATAAATAAACCTCCAAACCGCAACTAGTGGTTGACGGATCAGTAGATGAACACAGAGTAGCCAAGCAGAGGTGTGCGATAGACTTACCTCCACGTGGTGCACCCTGGGCAACGTATACTCATACGGCAAAAAAATCTATTGACTGGCAATTGACTTCTCACTTCAAACTACTATCACCTCACTCTATGCCACATTCGACTATTTCCGCAGTACTCACCTCACCTTTGTTCTACCTTTGTGTTTGTATCTTACATCTTTGAAACACTCTTCTGTTCCCCCCCTCTCGGCTTTTTTCAATTTGATGTTCCTTCCCCTCTGTAAAGCCTGAAGGCAACTAAAGGGCTAATGATAACCATTAAGACGCCTGCCATTTGATATATATATATATATATATATATTTCACTAGTTTTAAAAAAGGCATTAGACTGTAATTTTTTATTAATAATGGATACTATATTATATATGATGTACTTTACGCCACCATTCAGAACTCTTTCGTGCAGCTATTGTAGTCTATAGCTTAAGTGGTTTCCGATTTTAATCTCATTTCGAAATTGCTTTTTTTCTCTATAGTCTCCTCTATGGCCGCAAAAAAGTGCTAATGGGATGAGGAAGGTCAGGTGGATATGAAGGATGCGATAGAAACTCTCAATTTGACTCCTACACTTTGGGAAGGTCATTTTTGCTTTGTGAGGGGAGGGTAGGCGTAGTCATATTGAAGAGCTAGCCCTTTTCTGCTAAATAAACTCCTGGTTTAGATATCTAAACTCTTCACTCTAATATATTTCGACGGTAAGTGTTTTGTCCCATTTTAGCCATTTGTTCATTTTATTTACAATTGCAAAAAAAGTTGATTTCAGATAACGTGTAAGCAAATTTAGTATAAGGAACTGTGCTCGGACTGAGATTCTACCATGTAAATCATCTCAGACTTCTAATATCAGATGAACCGCTGCGTGGGGTATTATTGGCCAGTTCATTGATGTTAGAACATTAACCTTTCAGTCATATTTCAAATTGTCGTCATTCGTTTCAACTCCACCTTTTTTCTGGCATTCTGATTGATTGAAAGTCAAATTGGATGTGATTAAAGCCTATTTCAAGTGAACAAGGAGCAAAAAATCCACACTATCAACAGAAAAATAGGCTCCTAAGATAAAGAGGCGTTGCTAGTACAGGGGTATATGAAAGACAATACTATGGAACAAGTGATATTTGCTAGAAGTAGCATAAATTATGCCTTCGGAGACAAAAAAATACTAGACACCTAAGCAAAACAAAACCTTGTAACAAGTGCATAGAAAAATTTTTATCAAAGCAAACGAAGTCATATCTCAAAAAGAGAAAATAAGTAAACATTGTGTAATTTAACGGACAAAATTTATGAAGATAAAACTGGAAGAGACTTTACCAGCATGCTTTGGCTTCCAACAGCCAGGGGTTTAAGTCGTAAGGAAGGGTCATCTCGCATCTCCACGGCAGCATAGAAAGCATCCATGTCAATGTGGATAATGCATCTGTCGAATCGACGTTCCGCTGAGAAGTTTCGAAGCAACTTATCGGCCTGGAATGGAAAAATAATTCACCGTATTATTCCCCAAATCATTATTTATCTTCATCAAACTCTAAACTCTTGACTCTTGATAAAGGTATACAATGACTACTGTGACCAAACAATTTAAATAATGTCAGCATATATTTGTTTGAGGTTAAGGGGAATAGCTAAGGCTCAAATAATCTACAAAGGTAATTAACTAATATGCCCATGCTATTCATCACTTCAAGTCTCAAATGCAATTTGCACAGCAAGATCGTAAAGTTGAAAAGAGTGCGCGCAATCATAGACTGAAAGTAGAGGTTTAGATATTTCTCATGCTGCATATAGCAAAGTAAGATGCCTATCGCTGTCTGCTTTCAAAGGAGGTTGTTGGAAGAACATTTGATTAACCCTTCAACGCCCTTAGGACCCTACGGGCCTCTTTCAAAATAATCTCCATTGGTACTAAACTCATAACAGAAGTGGCGCTATTGCAGTTTGAACCATGTTCAATACGTGTTTATAGCCTTCGCCTGATGCCCCACTAAAACTCATCACATCGGCGGCATCAGTCTACTGCTGTGAGACAGACGTGAGTGCAGTTGGGCGCAATTATTCAAAAATAAATTAGTCAAGGAATTAAAGGGTTAAGGCAGTGCTAAGTGATAGGTTATTGCAACCTGAAGAAAGGACTAGGCAAGTGAGATTTCAACCACACTGCAAAAAAACAATCAACTCCTTCACATTGAAAGGATAGAAAAAGAAGTGAAGAAGAATAGTGTACCAATGAATGGAAGGTTTGTGTTTAAAGTAGAAATAAGCGAAATGGGAACAGATAAGTAGAGCCACCTACCTCCTTTTCACCTGCTTCAATGTCTGATGGTGTAAGAGACCGCAGTTTCGCCAGTTTCTCTTCCACTTGTTCCTTTAGAATAGCACCACGTCGCCTCTCATTTTCGTAGAACTTTGATCCTGAAACGAATCACTCCGATTAGAGCTTTGAATTCGAAGTCAAAATATGAACATGTAGGTAATGCATAGGGGTGCTTTCGGTGTAGAGAAAGGAAGAAATATTGATAATACCACAATTAATAGGTAGTAGGTAAACTCGTTTCTCAAAGAAGTGCGGTATAATTACCACTTTTGACAAAATAAACAAGATTTCTTAAAATTAGACCTTGATAATAGCAAATAAGCCGATAATGAATTGCCCCAAAAACTTGGAAGAATTATTAAACCATAAAAAGTTTCTAGAGGATGAGGCCAAGTTTGATATGAGACTCTCATTCACTAACCAGAATTAGCAAATTTTGTTCTATTTATCTCAAAATCAAGCATTCTTAAATTACATACGGGCATAAGTGCCACCAAATAAAAACAATTTTTTTCGTTTGTTGCTAAATAAAAATTATCATCAATGAGCAGACACTGACGACAAAAAGGCCATTGGATGTTAAGGCAATAGCCGACTAAAGACCTTATTTTCTACAAATCATCCACCCCCAAGCTGAGCTGAACGGAGAAAAGCATAAACTTGAGAATAAACTCCAAATTGTACAGAACCAGCACTCTTTCTATTACCAGGATCAGTAAAGCAGATATAACCATAACTAATAGTTAAGAAAATGATTAAAAGTTAATAAACTTGCCAATAAATTACAATAGGTTGCTAGAAAAAGCTGCAATACTCAACACTGGAGAATAAAATCTCACCTTTGGAGTTCTCTTCAATGATTTTATTGATGGTCTCTGAATCGAGGCCTTCCATTCCAGCCTTGTGGAGGTTAATCCCACGCATTCTCGCCAAGTTCCCTGAAAAAAAAAGGAAAAATGGACTGTTTCGCCACGGTTAGGCGCGACTAAAAACCACCACATATGCTAAGAGTAGACATCTAACGGTGATTATCAGAAGATAATATTATTTTAGAAGATATTAATGAGTCTCATTAAACACAGATTTTAGCATTTACACTAAAGTGACAAAACAATAACTTATTATTTTTTTTACTAAACGAGTAGACCTATCACAATTAAAGCAAATAGAACGAAACACCTTTAATTACGTATGAAACCGAAGGCTAAAGCAACAATGCAAACAGACTCAGAAAAAAAAAGCAAAAGTCGTCAATATATGCAAATATATACTTTGCCAGTTAAATGCCAGTAAAATGTTTGTATGACAAGACGGGAGAGATATTAATAGCCGAGGAATGCTTTTTATCACATAAGAATAAGAACGAAATGATCCAGCATCTTGCAAGAGTAGATAGGGTTGGGGGTAAAGGTGGGGGTTTGAGGGGAAGGTGGTTGTAGAAGCAACACCATGTAAATACAAAAGGGAAATCAGAATACGCACATAGACGATATGATGCGGTTAAAGAAAAGGAGGGATTAGGGCCCGACTAGCTTGTTATAAACCACATTTAATGAATTGTGGCTTCCCTTTGAGAGTGGATGCTCAGCCAGAAGAACTGTGAAATTCGGCAATTCTGTGACCTTATTCCCCGTAATATCCAAATAACGAAGACTAGGACAGGAGAGAATGGGTTCAAGACCCTCAAAATGAGCAATACGATTACGACAAACTGATAGTCGCTTGAGTTGAGGCAGACCAGCGATTGGCTTCAGTGTAGATATATAATTATCATCTAAATTTAACTCTTTCAGGCATAGCAAATATCCACATGTGCCTGGAAGCATATCCAAATTATTTTTAGAAAAATTTAACTCTGTCATGAGAGTACACCAGTCCAAACAACAGACACGGGTAAGACCGACTTCTGAGAGGTTGATTGAGCGAGAATTTACAGCATATGAAGCGACTAGTGCATCTTCGGTGGCATGAGCGCTGGACATGTCAGCATAATAGCGCTTTCGATGACTATCAACATTCTGAAGAGTTTTGACAGCCGACTCAATCTCCTCACTACAATTTGGACGTATGTAACGCAAAAGACTGACGAGTGTTAAGAGAGCCCACTTATTATTAGGCTCAAGAGAGATGAGTTCACGGACAGTTTCAAGTTCAGGCATGAGACTAGAAGGCTCGTGTGAGGGAGAAATCATAAAATTTAGAAGACGTCGAGGATCAAGAGCAACCCTGGTTAATGATTCCTTCTGATCAGCTTCCATCTGACAAAAGAGCCATGTTTTTGAGCCCTCAGTTGTGGAGGAATGATTATCTTTATCATCAGAATGAACAGTAACAGAAACAGCACAACCATCAATCAGAGACTTGGGAAGTTCAAACCACCAAACTGCGGAAATATTGTCGTCCAAAGCACTCTTCCAGCCGTCCAGATCATTGGGGACATATGAAGAGCGAGTATTCGAATCTGGATTAGAAACAACAATATCCACATGAAGTTGACTGATAGCACTCAGGAGTTTAGGAGAGGTAAAAACAAGAACAGCACGATGAAGACTTCTTGAAAGATAAAGTTCACGAAGATAACAGTTTTTGACTCCACGGCCAAGAAGCCACCAATAATAGAACCAAGGTCCTTGGTCTTGTGGATCGGTAAAGACGGCATTGTGAACCAAATCGAATTCATCGAAAGGAATTTCGGGAGACTCATTCTTCTGAAAGGTTTTAAAGGTAGGTGGAGGAGAAATTGGAGTGGCAACCGTAGAAATTTCATCTTCTGCACCAATAAGCTCACTCCGATAATGCCAGGCAGAGTAATTGCTGAAATTTTCTTCGAGAGCCAAGTCAGTAAATTTAAGTTCTTCAGCATTCGAAATACGAGCGTTCTTCACAACGAATCTGCGATAGTCCCAACAGTGAAAATTTCTACTGTCGATTTTTAGGAACTTATTGCAGAGAATGTTTTCAGCTTTCCAATCAGGACTTGAGTGATTAGACATTACCCAACTCCGATGGTGCCAAGTGGCATAGGACTTTGGATTCTTTTGAAGACATCGTGCAGTTAAAGTTAGTTCTTTGTCGAACATTGAAGTCCTACTATCAACCGTTTCTGAATTAGAGCTAAGCAGAATTTCACGTCGATAATTCCAAAGAGTAAACATGTCAGGACATTGTTCTAATAATTCAGAGAGTTTTCCCAAAATTGCTAGGTCATAATTACACGCCCGCCGCCCCGCAAAGACTTCGTCAGCTAACACCGAAAAGCGCATCTTTAACTCCCTTTGCGATTGCTGAAAGCTTGCATCCTGTTCAGGTGATCTTCGAACTTTAACTTGGCCGTGCATGATTAGGTGCCGCTGTTGTTACAGTCAAATCGTAATTACCAATTTGGATTAATATCTAACACTCTTTAGTCCCAAAACTCTAAATAACAGAAAATCAAATCAAGATCAGGTTAAAGAATAAACCAATAGTCAAATTTGTCTCAAGGTTATTGCTCCGCTTAAATGATAGGCTATATTATTCCATATACATGACATTTCAAATATAGCGATTTCCTTTCCGTTTAAAGCGTTTTAATTCAAATATATTTTCCTGAAAATTGTGAAGGAGTGCCTAAAAGAGAAATACCTCGATAATTGGAAGATTGTAATATTCCAGCATTTGTACAAACAGGTACTTATTTCAAAGTTAGTTAGTCTAGTCTGGACGTTCAGATTTAATTCTATGAAAGCACTGATTTAATTAATAACTTTAATAATGCTTATACTTTCTAGTTTTCTATAAATGTGAAAATGCATAATCACATAAAAATTAGTTAAAAAAATTTTTGAATAAATAAAAAATTGGATGAATTCGCATAAACTCTTTTGTTCATTTTCAAACGGGCTAAATATAAATGAACGAGTAAGGAGTTAAACGCGAATTAACGCATTGTATAATTTCTGTCGCTGGTAGTATGTGCTAACCAACATCTTGCGATCGAGTAAGATAAAGCTTCTTCAAAACCAACTGGCAGGAATTTTGGATGTGACGGAGCAGAAATCAGAAACTAAGCAATAATGAAAGATCAGACGTCACTGGCGTCTTGAGAAGAAACGCTTACATATAAATCCCAATTTTTTTGTCAATAGGACCGGGTAGCCTTCCATAGTAGCATGAGTGACGATCTAACTCTTCTCTGTGGCCCTGGATCACATTAGTTTAGCCACATGCTTAAGTGTTGGCATATTTGTTTTTACATTTTATCATGCTTATTTACACATTACCAGGAGAAAAGAGAGCGGAACAATGATATTCTTCTACACATGACGGTATATTTCCTCGAATTTCGCAATTGACTAGCTGGCCGATAGTTGACAGAAAACTCTTCTAAACATCAGAAGAGCATCTACTTGTATTAACGAATCATGCAATGGCGAGTACATTCAGCGTTAAGTGATTTCCAGTAAGTCTTCCCAATTATTTTGCATTTGCAGCTATATTCAATTAGAAATACTTACTAACACAATGACATAAAATGGTTGGAAAAATTTAATTATATTAGCTTTTATGCTAAATCTATTTTGAAAATTTTCGGCAACAATATAAAATTAAGTCCCCTTCTCCTATCTGATCATTTGACCAAACATTGATCAAAATGAAAATTTGCAGACCATATTGTAGACCTGATTTGGCAGCCGGGACAAAGGAATTAAATAAATTCCAGTATATTCTTGCCCCGAAGCTTAATATCTTGTTTTATTTATAGTTTGAAAACATGAATTTTAAATACTTATTAACAATTAAACCAAAAATAAAATATTAGCTCAATAGTAAATCACTGATTAAACACAAATTTTCATATTATGGCATATTGACTAAAATTACTAAGACTCTTACCTACACTTTTAAAAATATTAGTTCACCACAATAGAAATGCAGTGAGAAATATTGTTTAAAGTATATGTAGTCGTAAATAAATATAATGTTTAATAGTTTTAATAAAATATTCAATCAAAATCAAAATTTTGGAAATTTTAAATAAAAATTATTTTATTAGTATTTTTTAAATTTAGCGTTCGCATATATAAGCCGATTGTTTTAATTACTCTCTTAGTTTGCATATCCAACTTACTTCTGTTAACTTCTAGGATGCAAAATATTCCTTCAAATAACAAGCGCGTTATGAAGCAAAGTCAAAAGTATCTCTTTATATTTTAGTATTCATTATATTTAGGCCTCGCAAAAAGCCTCTTCCTCATCATTCCAAAATGTCTTCTCAGGTTGGTTGGTATTGTTCTTACAATTTTCGTAGGTCATTGAAAGTGGTGATAAGGGATCGAATTATAGTCCTTTGGGATCCTATACCTTGATGCGTTATCTTGTGGTAGGATCTTTTAAAAGATTAATTCTTTTAGGGTAATGTAGCCGAAGTACATACTTCAACACATGTGTCTATTGGTGTGATTAAAGCTATTTCACCCACGGTAAGGTACATTACTCTTTTACATTGCTTTTTAGGGCGATGTTGGTTTGATGTCAGTCCGTACGGCACCCATTGAATCGGAGGATGGACCTTATACTATTGAAAAGCATAAGTGCATTCCGCTCTCTGAGATTAAACATTTGGTGGCCCGAGACATTAAACCTGCTAGTGTCCTCAAGGGTAGAGATTCATTTAATCAAAAAACTTTTCTTAGATAATATTACAGCGGAAGATTCGAGTCATTTAAATGATTCTGACGGCGAATTACAAAAATTCTACGAATCTCCCGGAGAAGGGGATGCTTGTTCTTTGAACTCGGAAGAGGGCTTTCCTGTGGATCAAATGTTTAAAATTAACAGGGAGAAATATAACGTTGTATCAACGTATAAAGAAAATCTTGAGGGCTACACGTAAGTTGATAATGCTTGCCATTAATCCGAATTTAGTTGTCCCTTGGATAAAAGTGATCCTGACTTCAAAAAGAAGGAGCAGTACTATTCGAAAATCGCAAAAGAGATTGAAGATGGTAAAAATCTTGCTTCTAATTGGGAGGCCATGGCTGAAGGTGATGTCGAAAGTGAGGAAGTTAAATTCAGTGCGGTTATGAAGGAGGGTGTTCAGGGAAGGGAGCTTAAAAATACGTTTAATCGTTCAAATCGAAACAACAAAGGCAATCGCGGTAACACACGCGCTTCTCTTCCTCGAGAGACAACGGAATCTAACAAACTATCCGTAAGGCCTAATGCATTTACCCTTCCAAGAGAGCAATCCAAGTCGGTTCCGGAAACTGCTCTGAGCAAATCTGAAAAGCCCACTCCAAAGGCATCTCGTGTTACAACACCTGCTATCTGTGAAACTCCAGATAAATCGGAGACCAAGGAAAATTGCGAAAATAAAAGTCCAAGTAAACTCGATTTCGATCCAGATGCGCCTGTTTTTGAGCCTTCTCGCACTGTACCTGCCGAATCAGCTGGAGAATCTCCTGTTACAAGTTCTGTCACTGGTTCTGTTCAACCACAAGGTGTTGTGTCTAATCCTACTTTTACTCAATCACAGCAAGCCCTCCCTAATGGAGTTCCCTCAACGCCCTCCTTTTCTACTCTTCCTTATCCAAACCCCGGATTACTGTCTTTCCCATTCCGTCCATCTGCTAACATGAACCCTCAACAGATGACCTTTATGAACCAATATCCATTTTTGAATGCGGGTACTCAAAATCAGAGGGGTATTCGACCAAATGCACCCGGTGGTTACTCAAAACAACGGCCACTGGATCAGACAAACTCAGTACCATTATCTCTTCCTTTCCCGGGTTTTGGATATCCTCCGTATACTCTTAGTGTTCCTTTTATGGCTCCTGGTAATGTTCCATTGGGTCATCCTTCTCTCGCCATGGCTGGGTCAATGCCTGTTGCTCCCACTGTACAGCAATCAACTTCAGCTCAACCACTTACCGCGGCTACTGCTGGTCAAGCATCTCAGACTGTGCAGTCTCCACCTCCTGTCCACGCAGGCACTGCCCAATTTCAGGCACTTTTCAATCCAACTCAAAATCCGGCCTCCTACGGCACTCAGTATCCTACTGCTGCGGGGGGTCAACCCGTTGGCTATTATCCCCAGTCTCTCACCGGCTATCAGGCTGCTGCCGGGCTGATGTATCATCCTGGCCATCCTCAAGCTCACGGACATGGTGGTCAGCAGCCTCTCATACCTCAGCCCCTCCAAATGCAAGCTAATCCCGCTGCTCCAACACCCCAGCAGGGTGCCGCGGCTGCGGCGGCCTATAATCACTATCAGGCTGCCGCTGTTGCTGCCATGGCTTCACTAATTTCTCAACAACAACAACAGCAAAATGCCCCACCGACGGCAGCATTTATGCACCCTCAGCTTCAACAACTGCAATACATAGCTCAACAGCAACAAACGAATAATAATGGCTAACTTCTTTATTCTAGAGTCAGCCTCTCGTTGTATCTTTCTCTCACCTCTTTTAGGAAAAATATATCCCTGTATATGCCACTTATTTTTGTATTCGTATTTTGGTCGTTACGGGTAGCTAGTTATTTATCTAGTTCATATATTGTGATTCAAATGTAAGTAGTCCTTGATTTTGTGTCAATTATTGATTTTAAAAGAGGTCTTATAGATAGCAACAGTTTCCTATGAAAATAAATGGCATCTTCTCTTGATCTTTCTTCATTATGGGAAAGTTCATGGAAGTAGGTATCGTTCCGGTTCCAGTTAACCTTTGTATGGGTATTGCATGTCAATTGATCTTGTTCCTGGGTGGTTTTTAGTAGAACACATATTTACAACTTAATTTTGTAGAGTGGTGGAGGTATTATCGAACTGAAAGTCCGTTGTGAGGAAATAATCTCCATGCCTATTTAAGGTGAGGAAGTGGTCCCTCTGATAAGAAACGTTCATTATATTTAATCTAAATTGATCACTCTTGTGCTTGTTTCGCATTAGTTCACCACTTCTAAACTGCAAAACCGGATGTCATAGGTTCGCTTCCCATTGGTACTCCTTCACTTAATGGAATGGCCGATCGAACTGGTTAGGCTGGATAATAGAGCCGTAGAAATCGAGCTTCTCAGGAGAGAAGCTCCACGGTAGTGTCTCTTTACCCAGAAAGAATGTTTTAACAAGCTTTCTTAAATGAGCTTGGAAATTATTACATATCAAAACTCTCAATTCGCCTAATTTGTCGACCCACAAGGAAGTTAAAAAGATTATTTACTCGCGTGTAAATATGCTGGTAGATTGTTATAGGATCGCTGCAAAGGCCATTTAAATAAACGGACTTATCAAAGATTCGAATATAAATTCTTAAGTCGTTAAAAAATCCTGATGAGCATTTACATACGATTAGAATTTCAATTGGAGCCTCATACTTTAAAAGCCTAAACATATTAGCCACGTGGACTTATTCATTTATTGATAAAGTGCATGATTGTATGATTCATATAAGTGATGATATATGCGGAAAGTTTGGGCATTTCAATTCATTAAATACAGACTTCCGCTTCTTTGCCAATTAGCTGAGTGCTACTCATTCAAAATGTCCCCCTTAAAGAGACTTGCACTGCATCGGATATCAGCATGAGCATCAGACACCTAACGATAGTTCCAAAGCATGGGCCACTTTATATCGAGCATTCGCATTCACAGTTAAGAGCCACGCACTTTGAATTTTTTGCTCGAGGCCAATATTTACGCAGTAAGTGACCGGGAAAATGCATACTTTATTGACTTAATAGGCCACCTTAGTTTTTATCGTCCGATCTCTCCACCATATTCCTAAAACACTTTCCACTATTTTGCATTTCATCATTAAGAAAGGGCAAAATCGTAAGTGCTCTTTTCAGCCAACACGCGTGCTGAAAATTGCTGCCAATTTTAAAAGTGCATTACAAAGCCACTGCAAAACCCGATTACCCACAGCCAACTTGGCACAATCTATGGGTATTTCGATGTCTTCATCCTATTGGCTCTTTGCCCAGTTTATTAATTAATTTCACAGCTCGAAATGTGAGTACTGATTGTTTTTCGGGATTTCTCTAAGAAGGAAGGGGGGAGGGGTTTAATTTTTCTCTCATTTGTTCTCTTTTTGTTTTTTTCCTGGTCACAAACTCTACGAATCCTCCCGTCTTGAATCAAATGTAGTGGAGGCGTGACCAGCACTGTCATGGCTAGGCAAAGACATACTCGAAGGTGCGGCCGTGCTATTTGTCGCTTAGGGAGCAAGTGCATCGTGAGAGCGAAATAAACCTCTCAGTCAGCCATCGGTCAATAAGCCCTGCATTGTATAACAAACCCTTTATTGTTTAGTGGTAGGCACACATCGCAGGTAAACTTATGTCCGTTTCCTCCATATTGTTGATGGGAACTCGCCATTGGGATTACTGAGCATATGTCTAAGTAATGAGTAAGTGTAATAATCCGCTATAGTAGTGAATGGAAAAATTGAAATCCTAGAGAGTCTGAATGACCAGCATGGCGGTTAATTTAGCGGAATTGAAATATTTCGTGGTATAAACCGTGGTATGCTTTTAAGCTACTATTAATTTACGATTGTGCTTGAGCTGCTTAGTTATAACCAGCTACTTCATCAGAGGAGGTCAAATTAGTAGAGTAAAACTGATGAGCAGGAGCTCTTACATTTCCAATCCATAAAGCCTTTGTTCGAAATTTAAATATGCATGATAGGTTAGAGTTTGCTGGCGCCATGCTTATCACTATCCAATTAGTTAAGTTGATAGCTAAGCGCACTGGTCAGTTCTCTTTAATGAACTGAGTGAGTTATATTGAATCAATTTGCCGAAATTTATTTCTATATTTCGCCATAAGTGATTGCGAATAACGACCCTAGATCGATTACCTAATCCGTACTTTCACCAGTATACCAGTACTTATTCAGGACATTCACCTCACAATATCGCAAGCTTTTAAGGTCGAATAGGTTGGGTAATTGTGTGCTTAATTCTTAATTAAGAGGTGGTAAAATAGTACTATTCATTCATATTACTAATGGGGAATAAATTTAATGCGGAGCATAAGGCATACAGCCTAAATTTACCGTAAGAGGCATCTTCCACTGGTTGATTGCGAATGATAAATAGTCAACCAGAGTATTCCGAGTTAATTAAAATTTATTTATTATTTATTTATCATTATTTGTTAAAAATGAACATTTGAAGCTCAAACAGAAGTTAAGCCCTCGGCGACAGTTTCAGAAATCATTAGAGTTTTAGGGCATATTTTGACAGATTTTTCCATCGATCTGATCAAATAATGATCCTCCAACAACTTTGAAACTTAACAACGCATTTTCAAACCCCTTAGTTTTCCGTTAACTTGTCACTTCCTTAAATATTGATAAACAAATAGATCGCCATATGGAGTTAATTTTCATTCACTTTGAACAATCAGTCTTCCCAAGATGAGTGGCAGCAGAATTCATAAAAAGGCTAAAGATCTCCGATACTGGGTGATAAAACATCTTATGTTCTGTCACAGTATTTGATTAATTGATGGCTTACATAGATCACCAATCGATAAACATTGTCTGTTGCCTGATTCGCTTATCATTCAACCAATGAAATTCACCAAGACGTTTAAGGAAGTGCCTTGTCAAATAATAACTTCCTCATTATAGTATCAAAAGTTTGTATTTATCAGTGCAATTATGTCAGACACATAATAGCACATCATCGTTCGAAGCACTAACTTTCATAGAACACCTCACCCAGCCGAACATTCTTTACTTCTCAGGAAAGACGATGAACTCTCATGGCTTTCAATATTCGATCGTCTACCAAGTAAATTCCTATTTCACATTGTATTAGAAATCAACTAGTCAAATAGAGGATATTAGCTGTCAGTTTAGGCACTGCATGACAAATTTTGATTTATGAAATATATAGCATATCAGAATCGTACTACTTCACTTAAGTAGGGAATGAGTTTATGATTTCATTGCCAGTTCACTGTTTCGACATATATGTTAGTGACCTTTCAAAATTGCATAAATAGAAAGGTCATTTGGTCAGTTCCATGAGAGTCAGTCGTTAGTCGTTGTGCTAGTTTATTCTTTCGAGTTGTTCCGATTTTGACTTGGTTGGACTTAGGTCTAGTCCACTTTAGTGAACAATTGTCACAGAATTGACAAGGAAAGTGACTTAATCTAAAGAAACAGAAACATTGTTTAGGAGGGTAAGTTTTCATTCATGTATAACAGATTTCGAAGGTGTTACATTTTTCGTCCCATTACTGTCAAGAAGTAGTTTAATAAAGCAGGTAATTTTAATCAATGCCATTTTCATTTTCAAACTTTTACTCAAGTCCTTGGATCGATTGTAACTTGATAACCTATTCGTAGTCCAACCAGGCACAAACTATCGCTTTAAAAGTTAAAGCCAACATGTTAAAACTGTCAACATTGCCAAGCTATCCTGAAATGGAGATAAGTTGCGTTTGTAGCGGTTTACTACATTAATATTCAGTGTGCTGTATGGAAGATTCTTCCAGTTTGCAACGGTTCTCATGATTAGATAAGCTACTACTAAGTTATGAAGGAAACAGACGTATGTCGTGGAATACATTTATTCGGGTGTTGGTATGTAACGTGTTGTGCTTTAGGTGTGTTGTTGTTATTGCTGTCTGACAGAGCTTAGTCATTGTACGCGCTTTCGGGTATGTTGACCACGTAAGGACTTGGATTAGTGATTAGTCGGGTGGTCTCTACACTCGTGACCTGATAGGGCAATTGTAATGGCGCGCGTGTACTGTTTCATACTATTTGAACGTGCATGTGCTTCCCATGCTTCAGCCATTTTGACGTTGTGCTCCCCACACTTGTTTAGAGACTTGTTGTTCTAAAAATGGCATTCTTCCATTTCTTTGTGACATTCAATGTATTGAAAATTTTTGGTGGCCTAGGACCTTTATAGAATTATGGTTAAATAGGCACCTACATTCTGATATGAGAATACTATTGGATTACCCTGTGAGAGGTATATAGTGATAGTGTGCAAAACTTCATCACTTAGTAAACCTCAGATTATGATTTTATCGGCGGTTAACTGAACTGCATGGTTTTAACTCTGACTATGGATAAGATCAAGTGAATTTACCAAGAGATTTTATTATTTTGGGACAATGGATATAGTTCGTCACTGTTTTTCCCATGGCACACTACTTGCGCTTTTCTCTTAAAGCCCTTAGGTAATCAATAATATTAATATTGATCTCCTTGAATAGCCTTGTTGTAGACGTGTAGTTGAGAGGGTAGTAAAGATTCCTTATTGTACCATTACTAACCCCTGTTAAGCAATCGAACCCCAGGTGGATGAACTAGATAAGCCTTTTCTTGTGTCCTCTCCGCTTTACTCAAAGAGCTCCTAATCCAATCAAGACGGGTTTGTGTTGTCATTCTG